GCTTTGCGCCGCATCGCCTGGTGTGCAGCGCAGCTCAGGACAGCGCCGTGGCCTTTCTGCAGCTGAGCGACAGCAGCGGGTGAGCCCGGGCCTGAAGGCTCAGAGAAAGGCTTTGCAGGGAAGCTGGGAGCAGGGCGAGAGTGGGTCACCCCTTTCCACTTTGTACCCCCCACGCTTCCCCTTTGGATGCAGGGGGCTGGCCGAGTTGCTGGAGAGGTGGAGAGTTGAGGTCACCTTCTCTGTTTGGAGAGGGGCAAGAGTGCCCCTGGTGCCCCCAGGCCCTCCAACTCCCACCATCACCACCCCCAGCTCCCTCAGAGGGAACCCGCGTCTTGGGTGACGTCAGGCCTCTGGATTCTGGAGCGTGGGCCTTGGGCCCTCCATCCTCCCCCACCTGGAGTTCCCTGGAAACCATCTTCGTCTTCCTGGGGATGGTGCGCGCGATAAGGGATGGGGGCGACTGGAGGCGGGGTATCTGTGGCCTCCTTTGGGTCCTTAGTCACTAGAGGCGCTCCTGCAGGTGGACCCAGGTTGTTACCCCCCTCTGCTGTCTCCCTCCCCGCCTCCCGGGGGCGACCGACCTTTGGACTGCTGGTGTGAGCCGCTTCAAGGTTTCCGGGGATTGGTGCACTGGCTTGAGCCTGGGGTCCACCAGGGCTGAGGTGGTTTGTCGGGTGTGCAGCATGTAGTTCATTCCAACGCTGGCAGGAGTTAGTCGCGCGGATGAGGGTGAGGTGTTTGGGAACCCGTCCCTGCCCCTGCCTTCGGGAGCTCTTGGTCTGGGGGTTAGGAGAACCAAATAGAGACTGAGAATTGCCCCCGCCCCGGGTGGGGAGTTTAGGGACGGCCAGACAGACTCTACCGCGGACAAAAGGAGCACAAGGAGAAAGGGAGGCAAGACCCAGCGAATGAGAGACTTCCTGGAGGAGGTGAAATTTGGATGGGAAGAGAAGGCATTCCTAGGGACTGGTATGAGCAAAGGCATAGAAGTGGGAATTAAGCACAGCTGTTGGGGAGCCTGTCCGTGAGCCCAGCCACGTGAGCTCCTAGGGTGGGGGAGTCTGGAGAATTTTGCAGGCTATGCCCTACCGGTTCTGCCTCCAAGGGTCAGGAATTTGAAAGAGGGAGATGATTTTTTTTTGGGGGGGGGGCTACACAAATCTTGCTAGTTGAGATTTGATCTGGGTTTGGTGAGCTTGAAGGCAAAGCCCTCAGACCTGAGAGAGGAGTGTCTCTGGTGAATGGGTCACAGAAAGAGGGACTTGTTAGATAAAGCAAACCTAGAGTCCTTTCCCTGGCTGACTGACTAGCCACCTCTGAACAAGTTCATTCCTCTTTCTGGGCATCTCTTTGCCAGCACCTTTCTCTAGGGACGAAATAACAGGATTAAGTACTGACCTCCCTTGAGGAAGCTGCTTGTTCTAGTTTAGAGCATTCCTCCCAGTTCTTCTCCCTTTTCCTTTTCTCCTCATTCTCTCTGCTTTCCTCTCCCAACTCCTCCTCACAGCATTTCCTCTAGGGGCTGCTGACAGCCTGGAGTCTCTGAAGGTTTCCTGGAGGTGTGGGACAGCAGGGTTGACAGAAGCTGAGAGTTTAGCTTGGTTGGGGAAGAGCATCAGTTGCTTCTCTCCCACCCTTTGAGAGAGTATCCAAGTCTGAAGCAGGAACATAGATTGACAGTGCTTTGTGTCCTGCCCTGTGTTGGGTCCTTCCTAGAAGCCCCATCCATGAGAGACTGAGGGAAAGATTGGATGTGAATGAGCCACTGCTTGGTGGCCAATAGCCGTTTAAGAATTTAAGCAGTGGGATGTATAGTAGGAATGTCTGGAAAGGTTTCCCAGGAGAGGTAGGATGTGAGAAAATAGTAGGACTTAGAGGAGCTGACAGGGTTCTAGTTTAGGGGCACTGGAAGCAGAGGGGGTGGGTAGACATGTCTCATGCATGAAGCTGGGTTGTGTGGGAAGCAGATCAGCCTGTGGTAGAGAAACAAAGGGTAGTGGCGCAGGTCTGTAGCTGATTGACACAAGGCCTTGAATGCCAGGCATAGGATCAGGAGGGGCTACTGAAGAGTCATCATAGGATAGTGATAGCAATGCCAAGAGAGTGCTGCTTTCTGAGCATGATTCATAGCTCTGGGGCTTCAGAGTTGGAGGTGGGATAGGGGGCCAGAGGTGGAGCAAGAGGGGGAAACTTCCATCTTAGATAGACTCTGGGCAGGCAGGAAGAAAATGACCATTTCTATGCCAAGGATGAGGGACTTATGCTGGGGAGGAGGGCAGACTAGGGAGCAGGCAGCCCTGGAACCAGTCCCAGGTCTCTGGCCTGATCTGAGTCCAGGCTTGAGTCTCTTCTCTTTGCCATAGGCCTCACTTTCTCCACTGTGGGAGCTTCTGTCCTCCCAGCTTCACAGTAAGAGATGGAATAAATTATAATCTGGGTTTTAAAAACAAAATTCAGGTAGTATTTGCTATCTTTTTTTTTTTCAGATTCTTTTGCTATCTTATTGATAACTAAGTTGGTTCTTCCTTAGGCCTACATTTTTGGGAGGATATGTAGCACCCCTCAAACAACACCACCAACATTTTGAGGAACAGATTGCTACTTTTCCCATTTTGTAGTCAATAAATTTGGTTTGCAGAGGCCACTCACTTCTGTCTGCCTGTCTCTGTCTGTCTCTCTCTCACACACATACACGCACACACACACACACACACACACACACACACACACACACATATGTGTCTATATATAAAGGCTAGCTCTGAAATGAGGGCAGAGGAGCCTGGAGCCTTCCATTCCTGTGACCCTAGCCTCTTATAGCCCTCCCAACCCTAAATTCAGCCTTGCCCTGTGCTCTGGCCATGAGCTCTGGCTTCTCCCACTCTGAGTAATTCATACTTTGCTACACTGGCTTCTCTGTAACCATGGGCACACCTTTGGAAGACAGCCTGGGAGGAAGGATAGGGGTCAGGTTGGAGCCAGGATTGAGTCACCTCCTTTGAGGCTCCTACAATCCAGTTATTATATGCAGTCCCCCTGCTCCTCTTCCTTGTTTTCTTGGAGGACAGCAGTTTTCCACTTCACATCCCATTGTCTCATGGGAGGCAATGTCTCCTTCAGCCACCCTTTCTACCAGGCACTGCTGAGTTTGGTCATTTTTGGCATGTGGCTTCCTCTGAGATCTTAAACTCTAGTATGCTCTGACCATAGTGCAACTTTTACTTTACCTACTTTGGAACCCTACAGAGACCTTTCATCCTCTAACACCTTCATTTTCTCTATACCATGAGCATTGAACCTTTTGTGTCTTATCTGGACCCTATGGTCCAGGATTTTAACCATTCTTGGGCCCATGCCCTCATCTACCCCACGACATTGCCTGCGTGTCCTAACCCAGCAGCAGAAGTCCCAATTCACATACCAGGGCAGTCTGGTTCTGCTGCCATGCAGGGTCTTCAGCTTCAGCTGTCCCTCCATCACTTTCTAGAAATCCTTTGCGTCTTCCCAACAGCTCTTCATTCCATTTCATGGGAGGAGTATTCCAAGCTGGACTATTCTCCTAAAACCCTTTACTTATGGAAAGGGTGGTTGGGGGTTTGTGGGAGAAGTGGAACCACACCCATGTTCCTCCACTTCTTGAATCCCAGTAGAAGGAAGGATCCTAATCTAATATGCCTACTCTGTGCTATGGAAGCTGGCTCTCTGTGTCCTGAGGTACCAATGTCCATCAGCTATTTCCCTGGCTGGGCTGGAAAAACCTTTCTAACCCTATGTTCTCCACTAGTTGCTACTGTTTTAAACTGGTGGCTTTGTCTTATTACAAAAATGATGTATGACCCTTGTAGAAATCTTAGAAAATAAAGATAAAAAAGAAAGAAAACAAATAACTTATAATCTTACTATCAAGAGATGACTACTTGTTTCAGTGTTGTCACTGATATTCTCTGTGTGTGTATTAAAATTTTAGCCAAGTTTTTGAAAGACTAGTTTGCTAGACTTGTTCTTTCTTCATTTCCCTCATGTTTTCCTTATTTCTTAGCAGTGTGGTTTCTGCCTACTGCTCCCTGAAGCTGTGACCTCCTAAATGCCAAATCAGCCAAATGTCACACATGACCACTCCATAACCGTGGACATTATTGACCCAATTGACCAGTCATTAAAAATATTGAGATAACTAACCTGTATTCATTGACATGAAAATTTTTTATGACATATTGTTGAGTGGAAAAAAATAGGAAAAAAAAATATTGTTGAGTGGAAAAATAAAACAGCATGTATAAAATTATCTCATTTTTGTCATATATACATTAAAAACAAAAAACAAAAACCTGAAGGTCAAACTGTTAAAGGGTTGTTTGTGTGAAAGGGTGGATTCTGAAAGAACTTTTATTTTCTACTTTATGCACTTTGATTTTTTTTTAACTTACAGATATTTTTATACATAGCTGAAAAGCAACATTTTCATTTTATTTAAAAAGAATTTAAGGCTATATATATATATATATATATATATATATATTATAAATATGTTTTTATTGATTTTTAGAGATAGAGGAAGGGAAAGGGAGAAGGATAGGGAGAGAGAGATAGAAACATCAATGATGAGAGTGTCATTGGTCAGCTGCCTCCTGCACGTCCCCTGCACTCCCCCTGCTGGGGATCGAGTCTGAAATCCTGGCATGTGCCCTGACCAGGAATTGAACTGTTCATAAGTCAACACTCAACCACTGAGCCACACCGGCCTGGCAAAGGCTAAATTTTTTAAAAGAAGAATAGAATTCTTCAGTGGTTGGCAGGACTCTGAGAATAAAGCCCAGCTCAAATCCTGCCCATGGCCTTCAAGGCCAGGATGACACCGCTGATCCCACTATCAACCCTATTTTTCCCTTTCTGTCCCTCCCACTTTGATCTTTGTCCATATTCTACTTTTTTCTGTTCCTTGAGTATACTGTGCTGTTACTTTCCTGATCTTCACACCTGCGTTCCTGATTCTCTTTTTCCCTAGCCAACTCACTCGTCCTTCAGGATTCAGCCGTATTAAGCCTTTCCTGGTTCTTCCAGGACAGATCAGGGAGGTTCTCTGCTGTGTTTCACAGCTTTTTGTACTTGCTTTCCCAGAGTACTTCTCAGGCTGTAATTGCTCATTAACTTCGCTGAGTCCTCTATTCTGACTTCCTCCCTCTCAACTCCAATCTGTCTCCAATATTACAGAGAAAATTGAAGCAGGTACATGGACTCTCACTCTCCTTTCCAAGGCCTTAAGCCTGCCTGTATCTGCTTGCATCATGTTCTTCCTACCTGTTAGAATCAAGGCTTGTCTTAACCTCCTTGCTCTGGAACCCATGCTTCTCTTTTCAGGGTTAACTTCTGTTGTTGCAGTTGCAACTTTTTCCCTGGGTCCTTCACATCCCTACCTTATTTCCATCTTAAACAACCCTCAGCCATAGCCCTTCCTAGACCAGATATCCCACCTAGGTAGTGCCTTATCTCTCTATTCTCTTCCTAATCGTAGGCAGCCTTTTTCAAAGAGCTGTCTACACCTGCTTACCTGTTCAACTATAGGTTGGATTTGGCTGCCACTCCCACCCCCACCCTACCAAAACAATTCTTGCTGGGAACACAGATGACTTGATGTTACTGAGTATAATGAACACTTTTAGCCCAGCCCTTTTCATGCTGTCATATTTGTTCACTGTCTACTCCTGACTTTGGAGACTCCACTCTCTTCTGGTTTTCCTTCTGCCTCATCAGCTGCTTCCTCTCATTCTTTGGCAATTCATCCTCTTCTGCCTGACTTTTTTTTCCATTTATTTTTTTTGAACAGATAATAAATACATCCACATGATTCATAATTTGAAAAGATGTTCCAAATTTCATCAGTACTAAAATGAACATTTTGATATTTTGGAAAACATTTTAATGTCTGTATCTTAAAATTTTTGGCATTTTATAATTACAATTTGGCAGTATTTTTGTTTTCTTTTGGTAAATAAAATTAATGCTCTATCATGGGGTAGATGGTATAAAGATACATAGTAACAATTCTTCCCCCCAACCTGCTCCACATCTATTCAGTTTCTCTGTCCCCCAGGGAGCCACTTTTTTTTTCTTGATATCCTACCAGAGATTCTTTGTTTATATATTACCAAATGCAAACATATACAGGGTGGGTCAAAAGTAGGTTTACAGTTCATATGGAAAATAGCACAATGATGAATAGATAATAAAACAAGAATAAACTGAGTGTTTCACCTACACGCAACTGTAAACCTTTTGCTCCACCCTGTGTGTGTGTGTGTGTGTGTGTGTGTATTTTTTCCCTCTCAATATTTTATTTTGAAAAATTTCAAAGCTACAGAAAGGTTTAAAGAACAGTGCAATGAACACCTGTACTAAGGTATGTTACCTAGATTAATCAATTGTTAATATTTTGTGAAATTTGCTTTATCTATCTATTTTTTTTGCAGAACCACTTGAAAGTAAGTTGCAGACAAGACACTGTACCTGTAAATACTTCAGCATGTATCTCCTAAGAACAAAGATATTCTCCTAGGTAACCACAACACCTAAGACACTTAACACTGAATAATGATATCTACTATGCAACCTATGTTCAAATTTCTCTACTTGTTCTAAAAATGTCCTTTAGAGCTGTGATTTAAAATTCCAGGATTCACTAAAGGTTCATTCATTGCATTTGGTTGTATGACTCTTAAGTCTTCTTTTAATTTAGATGAGTCCCTCTACCAATCTTTGTTTTTCATAACTTTAACATTTGTCTTGGAGAATTTTCCGTAGTCTGGATTTGTCAGGTTATTTTTCATAATATTTTCAAAGTAAACATTTTGGCAACAGCACTGTGTAGATGATCTTGTGTCTTTCTGTGTGTATCATGTCAGGAGGTACGTGATGTCCTTTGGTCCCATTATCAGAATTGCTAAGTTCGGTTGCTTGGTCTGCCAGATCTTCTCATTATTGAACTATCTTTTCCCTGTTGTGATTAAGTAATCTAGGGGGTGACACTCAAACTGTGTGATTTTCCTATTAACAGCCATTGATCATCCTTGTTTGTATCAGGTCTTACACAGAGTTGCAAATGGTGGTTTAAAAAAATTATGTGATTCTTTCTATCACTAGAACTTTCGTTTTCCCTCTTTCCTTCTTTTGTATGTCATCCTAGACTTGTGCATTCTTTTCATTCAATGTGTTATAACCCACCCATGACTGACATTATTCATATTTTTCAACTGTTATACTAAAGTTGAAGAAATAGTAAAAGAGACACTTATTTTTTTTTAATCTTCACCTGAGGATATTTTTTCCATTGCTTTTCAGAGAGAGTGGAAGGGAGAGAGAGAAACATCGATGTGAGGGAGACACATCGATTGGTTTCCTCCCACATGCACCCCAACCAGGGCCAGGGATCGAACCTGCAACTGAGGTATGTTCCCTTGGCCAGAATCTAACCCAGGACCCTTCAGTTACAGGCTGACATTCTAACCACGGAGCAAACCAACCAGGGCTAAAAGGGACACTTTAAATTTACTGTATAGCTTCACCCAGATTCACCAGTTGTTAACATTTGTCAAATTTGCTTTGATTCTGTCTATATCTATCCCTTCATCATTTCTTATTTTATGAACTATTTGAAGTGACATCATGACACTTTTCCCCTAAACACTTGAGCATATATTTCCTAAGAACAAGGGCATTGTCCTACAATCTCGATACCATTATCACACCCTAGAAATGTAACATAGACACAATATTATCTAAGTTAGAGTCTATATTCAAGTTTCCTTTGTTATACCAGTGATGTTCTTTATAGTGTTTCCCTTAATCAAGGTTTACACATTGGTTTTCATTGCCATGTATCTTTAGTCTCCATTAGTTTAGACAATGCCTTATCTCTTAAAAATTATTTTTGTCTTTTTGGATGTTGGCATTTTTTTAACAGTCCAGGTCAGTGTAGGTTTTAGAATGCTTTACAACTTGGATTTGTCTGATTGTTCCTCATTATTAGATTCAGGTTAAACATTTTGGGGCAGGACTACTACACAGGTGACGCTGTGCCCATCTCCCTGCTTCACATTAGGAGGCTGTAATGTCCATTTGTCTCGTTATTGGTGAGGTTTAGTTTGATGATCTGATTAAGGTGGCTTCTGCTAGCTTTCTTCACAGTATAAGTGCCTGTTTTCTTTTGTAATTCAGTCATCTTTGGGCTAGTACTTTGACATTGTGTGATTCTCTTTCTGCCAATAATCTTTCACCAAGTGAAAGGTTTAGCATCTATTGACAATTCTTGCCTGAATCAGCTATTTCCCTAGTGATTGCAAAATTGGGAGGGTCTTTTAATTCTTTTATTCCTTTTACATTTATAGCTAGCGTTCTTCTGCAAAGAACTTTCTTTTTCTCTTCCTCCCTCTCTTAAAAATAAGAGTGTAACTTTGGACTCATGAATTATTTTTAAAAATTCAGTAAGTTGTATTATTGTTATTATTACTTTTGATACGCTTAATAGTCTCAAATTTGGCTGGTGATAATCCCTTTGGACTGGTGTCCTTTGTACATGACCCTATTCATTGAATACCTGCTTGTTTCTGGCACTACAAGATGTTCTAGACTAACCTTATGTTTGTTTTGGCTTGGGATAAGCCATAGATATTTTTTAAGTCATGTGTTCATATTGATACCTCCAGTTCAAATCCAACATCACAGGGCTCTTTTACCTTCCCACATTCCATATTCTATCTTCATACTCTAACGGTGAAAACCCAGGTTCCCAGTAACACACATTTACTTATAAGCTTTCTCTTACACTACACATGGCAACGTTTCAGAATCACCACATTAGTACCAACAGTAACAGTAAACCTGCTAATATATAAGATATTTTTCCAGTTATTTTTGTCATTGAGGTATATCCCTCTGAGACAACACAGAGTACTGTGACAAGTTACTTGGCTAATTCTTTTTACCATGGTTGTGTCAGCTTCGTTTGTTTTTGTTTATTTCAACTTTAGGGTTTACTTTTATTTCTGGTGTAAGTTTTTGAATATGTAAGACATTATATGTACAAAAGTATGTAAAAGTCTTTACCTGGAGAAGTCTCATGACTCCTCTCAGCCCTTCCATCATGCAGGTTACCATGCCGTTTGTTTTCTGGTTTATTCTTCCTGTGTTTTTTTTTTGCAAAAATAAGCTAATTAATATGCACGTTCTTCTTTTTCTTTATTTCTTACATAAAAGGTGGCATACTATTTATACTTGTCTGTGTTTTGTTTCTTTTTTTTTTTTATAAATATATCTTTATTGATTTCAGAGAGAGGAAGGGAGAGGGAGGGAGAGAGTTGAAACATCAATGATGAGAGAGAGTCATTGACTGGCTGCCTCCTGCACGCTCCCTACTGGGGATCGAGCCCACAACCCGGGCATGTGCCCTGTCAGGGAATTGAACCATGATCTCCTGGATCCTAGGTCGATGCTCAACTGCTCAGCCATGGCCGGCCAGGCTGATTCTATTTTTTTTTTTTTACTTTCTATGGACTGTTATCTTTAGGGAGGAAAGACTCAGTAAGAGGGCAGGGACCACATCTTTCTTATTCATGCTGTCTCCCCAGTGCCTGGCAGATTAGAAATCCCCAATAAGGGAACAAATGACCGAAAGCAAAGGCAGGAGGAAGGGGATCCCATCCTATGACTGAGGCCAGGGCTCTGCCGTGTTTAGAGTCAAAGAATAGAGTTTCCTCTTTCAGAGTTCTCTGGTACCCTCAGGCCATTTCTGTTGCTTGCCTTTCCCTGCATGTTCCTTTCCTACCCTTGGATGGGGTTTTCTGTGGTTAGATTTTGTGCATTGAGGCAAAGGGCAACAATACCTGGAAGGAGGTAGCTGGTAGAATGGTGGCTCTGTGAGACAGGACATGCCTCCATTGGGTTCATCCCACTGAGAATGTGAACAGGGCCTGCCCCAGGAAGCATCCAACCCGGCTGGGCTGAGAGAGGGACCTGGTTAGGATGGGCTGTAATCCTCATCCTTCTCTGGCTTTTCTTTCCTTCCAGTTCAGGACAAAGAGACTGGGCTAGCTGGTGCCATCATGGCAGGTAAGGAGAGGGTGGGCCATGTGAATAAGACTTCAAGTGAGCATAGGGTGGTCGAACCTATTCCTAGTCCCCTTATACCCCTTAGTGTTTGGAAGCAGGTTCTTTCTGTCCTTTTGTCACCAGGTTTCCCTTGGTCTCCTACTTAGGCCTATCCATCTGAGAACCTGAACATGACACTGTCTAGCCCTCTTTCTGACCCTGGGGACCAGGAATCAAGCATCTTGATGCCCTGGTCTTACTGGCCATTGGACTTATGAGTGGCATGGGTGGCATAGTTAGTCTCTGTCCTCTCTGTCACCGTTGCTCTCTAATACTCTGAGACCTTTTCCTTCTGGTTTCTGAGTTTTCTGGTTTCCAAAGGCTCAGGTACAGAATGCCAGAGCTGTAGGGATTTTTAGGGACTGTCTAGCTAAACCCTCATCCTACTGGATAAACTGAGGTCTGGAGAGGGGAGGTGACTTGCTCAAGAGCAGAATGTTGGAGTTGAGGCTGGACCCCCCATTTCCAGACTAACGCTTCCTGCTTCTGTCTGAAACTGGCTCCCTGCTGAGGAGGATGCTGCACCCCTGATCGACAACATTTACTGTATTTCTTCTGAGAGGCAGTAACACTGCCTTAGGGCCTTTGGTTATTTTGGGAATCTCACACAGCCCGGAGGAAGCAGGGATGGTTGGGTAAGGATAGCAATTTGGCCTATGGCCACAGGGTCCATTGGGGCAGCCTAGGCCAGGGAAGGAATGATGATATTGGATTGTTAGGGAGAGGAACATTCAAGGTGATGCCATATGATGTACTTTACCCACAGAAAGAGTGAACAACTTCCCACCACTGCCCAAATTCATCCCTCTGAAGCCATGTTTCTACCAAGACTTTGAAGCAGACATCCCTCCCCAGCACCTCAACATGACCAAGCGCCTCTACTACCTCTGGATGTGTGAGTGCTATGGATGGGGGAGGTGGGTGGTGGTGTGGGGCACTGGGGTGGGGTACCCGCAGGCTGGCTATCCTTCAGCCCCACTTGCATCATCTGCATGGGCCAGTAAGTCTTTCCCCACCTGACTCCCAAAAGGCTCCTTTCATGGGCCCATTCCCCAGTTGGGCCTCAGTTTTCCTCTAAGCCTGTCCTCCCACCAACCCCCATCTCCCATTCACAGACCATTTGAATAAGGGTCTCTGTCTCTTGCTCTCCATTTCCTTTCCCACTGGAATAGTTTTCCAGGGAACCTCAGGACTCTGGATTCAGGGAGGGTCCTTCCCTTAAAGCCTCAGTTTTCTTGCTTTCTCTGGAACATTACTAAAAGAAAAGAGCATTCAACTGGGAGTTGGGAGATAAGAGATCAAGCCAAGCTGATCGCTCCACTTCCCAAGCAGCAGGTTCCTCATTAGTAGAAAGAGGGTGAAAGAGGGTGTTGTTTCAGTGATCACTGTGGTTCCACATAGAGCTCTGTGCTGAGTGATCAGTACTTCTAAGAGTCTAGAGTTCTAATGTTCTCTATGATTTTGAGGTCAAGTGTTTAAAGGCCTTAGTTTCTGGTGTCCTATGGCAGGTTGGTGGGAAAGGTATCATCTTAGGCTGTGCCCAGGCTGGTAATAGGTACCTCTTAGGCATGTGCAAGGGGAGGAGTCTGGCTCTCCTGTGCTGGGTACCAGTCCCAGGGAATGCCAGACACCACAGGGTGACCTTAGCCAGGGTCTGCCACGTGTGATGTTGCCTTGAGTCAGGCCTGTACTTAGCTATTTACCTGGGGAGATGATTAATTGTGCCAGGAAGGTGGGAAATAATGCTGTCTTTGCAGCAGGTCCTTCATGGAATGGTAGAAAGAGTATGAGGACAGACAAACTCAGTTTCAAGTCCTGGTTTGGCCTTTGGGTGGCTGTGGAGCCATTTTCCCCTTGTAACATGAGTGAAAGAAGGGATGGGGCAGGTGTGGGTAGGTCTGTTGATGTTGGGAAAAGAATGAGTAGGTTGTCTCTTATGGCTTCCATTTTCCCCCCATCAAAATATGATGTAGAAGTGGGGATGGGAGCTTTGAAGAGACTGGGATTAGAATGAGAGCATGTTTGTGGACAGACAGTGGGCACACTATCCAAAAAAATGTGACTCCTAAGATTTCTTGGCCATACATGGATCCATTTGAGATTGACTGCCATGAATTTATAGTCCTATCAGGCCTCTGGGCTGGGGGACTCCTTTTTTTCGTAGTACTTTCAGCTCAGGTCCAGATGGGAATTGTGTCCATCCAGGGTGAGTATGGTCAGAAGATAGGGCAGGGGAAGGAATAAGAAAATGAGTGTAATGAAATATGGCATCTGAGCCAGATAAAGAAAGAAGTGGAGATAGAAAAAAGTTGATGGCTAGAGAGAAAGTGGCCAAGTCAATGGATGTGAAGTCCAAAGAGGCGGTAGAATAATTGCAGGAGAGGCAACTAAATCAACGGAGCTAGAGAGAGGTGGGACTGGGAAGAGAGGTGTAATCCAGTATAAAAACAGGTTAATGTCTGGTTTATGTAAAGAGCAAATAAAATCAGTAAGAAAACCAAGGTTCCAGGAAATTTGGGGGCAGTAAACAGGAATGGAAGAAATGCAGCTGAAATACATAGGAAGAAATGTTCATTCTTATTATGAGGGGCCCGAAATGGGTGTACCTGCACAGGTGACAGTGTTGTCAGGGAAAACTTGGGGAGCATTCCACCTCAGCCTGGGCTCTGAAAACTCTCCCCCTGAGAAGATCTTATTCAATAACTGGATTTAAGGGCTATAAATATAAATATCTTCCTAAGTCCTTTCTAGGTGCCTGCCAGATGAAATGTATATAACCCTTGAGATGCTTAAGGGCTCTATTCAGAAGCCAGTACCATAGATTCCTGGATGTCTGAGGCTAAGATTGAGCCCACTTTCCTTTGTTTATTCAGCAGGTCTTTGTGGAGCCTTAAAGGGACACAGCCTAGTGTTCCAGGAAGGGTTCACCTCGTGTCAGAAGACTTGGGTGTGTGTTAGTGCCAGTATCAGATGAGGAAGGAGTCTTTGAGGTCCTGACTGGCTGTGACTCACTGATACTGTGATTCAGAGGTTCAGCTAAATTATGTGGGCATGGAGGAGGAGGAGCCTGGGTCTTGCTCTTGGGGAACTTCTAGTCTGGTTGATGGGCTGGGATTTGTACTTTAGAAACCATGAAAACAGCCCAGTTCTGCAGGAGATCAAAGGGATGGGAGATGACTAAGGCTAGAGTAGTGAAGGAAGGCTTCTCGGAGGAGGTGGCATGATAGTTGTCTAAAAAATGGACTAAATAAGGACTGAGATCCCAGTCACTACTGCCTGCCCCATTTAAGTACAGGGCAGATGGTACAGTGACTTAAATAGATGTTTCCATGTCTGGCCAGCATTGTTCAGTGGTTGAGCATCGACCTATGATCCAGGAGATAGCAGTTTTCTTCCCAGTCAGGGCACATGCCCGGGTTGTGGGCTCATCCCCAATAGGGGGCATGCAGGAGGCAGCCGATCAATGACTCTCTCATCATTGATATTTCTCTCTCTCCCCCTCCCTCTTCCTCTCTCTAAAATCAATAAAAATATTTTTTAAAAATTAAATAAATAGTTGTTTCCACAGGCCTTTTACTTTCTTGTTTTCATGCCCCTACCTTGCAAGAGAAGATGTAAGGTGGGTTTCCCGTGCCTTGGCCTTGGTGATTGCTATGGGTCTGGCAGGGACAGGGGCTGAGGCCATTCTTATAAGGAGAAGAACATTTCTACTACCCTGAGACTTTGGGGCCCTTCAACTGGGCTTGCTGGCCTAAGGCTCTGGATTCCTGCTCTGGAGGCTCTTTGTTCTCTGGGTTTCTCAGATCCCCAAAAGCGGGTGTGGGGAGGGGGTTGGTCTGAGCTCCCAACTTTCTTTCTTACAGTCTGTACTTGGTGTGTGTGTGTGTGTGTGTGTGTGTGTGTGTGTGTGTGTGTGTGTGTATTCACTGATGTGGGTTATGGGTGTGAATATGTATAAATGTGGTATGCATGTGTGTTTGTGTGTCTGTATCTCTCTGCTTGCTCTGTTTGCATGTGTTTGATTGCTATGTTTTGCATTATGGATGTGTGTGTCTGTATCTGGGTGCTCATGTATGGGCCTGGTGTTTGTGTTTATGTCTGGTGTATGTCTCTGTGTGTGCTCCTGGGTCTGCAGTGAACAGCGTCACGCTGGCCGTGAACCTGGTGGGCTGTCTCGCGTGGCTGATCGGAGGCGGGGGAGCCACCAACTTTGGCCTCGCCTTTCTCTGGCTCATCCTCTTCACACCCTGCTCCTACGTCTGCTGGTTTCGGCCCATTTACAAGGCCTTCAAGTAAGTGGTTGGTGCTGACCCCGGCTCCTAACCCTGCCTCTTTGCTTCCCTATCTCTTCACTACATATTTTCTCACCCTTTTTTTGCTGTCTCCCAAACTTACTTTCCATTATTCAACCTCAGCTCAGACCACCAGGTAGGATTTGGGCTTCCTGGGAGCTCTAGGCTGGGATGAGAGGGCTGGGAATCGGAGCCTTCCTTTTAGTGCCTTCCTTCATCACTCTGCCCTTGGGTGTGGGCAACATAGAGACCAGGTCTGTTTTAATTTTGCCTTCCCCAGGCAGCTGCATGTTAAATATTGCCAATGGGGCCACCTACCTTGGTGGAGACACCCATCCTGTACCCATGGGGCTAGCTGATTTAGTGCCAAGTGGACCATCTATCCATGTGCCAGTGGAACCAGCCATCCATATACCGCTGACACTATTTATGTGCTAATGAGGTCATCCAACTCTGTGCCAAAGGGACCACCCATCCATGTATCAGTGTGGCTAGCTGTCTTGGTGCCAATGGGTGTCTACTTTGTGTCAAATAGGATTTTCAATCTTTGTGCCAATTGGACTATTCATCCGTGTACCAACAAGGCTATCTGTCTTGTTGCCAATGGAGTTTCCATCATGCCTCAGATGTCCTTGCCAATCAGACCATCCAACAATGTGCCAATTAAATTACTTTCTTGGTGCTAATAGGGTGTCTGTTCTAGTGCCAATTGGACTTTCTGTCTGTCTCTAAGCTTATGGGATCATCCATCCATGTACTAGTGGAGCTAGTTGTCTTGGTGCCAGTGGAACTGTCCATCCCTTTGACAATGGGGTTGTTAATTCCTGCCACAATGGGCCCATCTATTTTTTTGCCAGTTGAGCCAACCACCCATGTACCAGTGGGTGCTCCATTCATGAAGAGATATCTCCCTGTGTAATGTCGTACACACAGACCTAACACATGGAATCCTGCAAAGGTCCATGGTTAAATACTGTCCCATTTTGGCCTCTTAGTTAAGGCTTTTGGCTGTCTTCTCTCCATTGTGTACTCACTTAAACTTGGAAGGGTTTGGGGGCTTGAAGGCAGGGAGTCCCTGGCCCTCTGCCCAGGTGATGGGAGCCATCTCCTTTGTTGCAGGACTGACAGCTCCTTCAGCTTCATGGCATTCTTCTTCACCTTCATGGCTCAGCTGGTCATCAGCATCATCCAGGCTGTGGGCATCCCAGGCTGGGGCATCTGGTAAGAGACTGAGGTATCTGGGACTGACCCAGGGCTGGGATGAGTGGCACCTTGGTTATGTCTTTTGTTTACCTCCATGTGCTAAGCTGCCTGACCGGTGAGGACACTATAAGTTACAGAAAGTATGATAGGATTCAGGCTAGTGTAGTAGACACAGCCATAGCATTAGAGGAGAAGGAGAGCCTTGCAGTGGATTCTAGGGGCTGAGGAGTTTCAAAAATCATGGGAGAACCCGAGGAAAGGAAGCATTATGTCTGAGGAGCTCATCTTCTGAGCCATGAGGAGGGTTCCTCCTGAACCACTGACATAGGCCCTTTGGGTATCAGCAAGATGGTCCCTTTGCATCCAGTGATATGGCCCTTCCATGTGACAGTGAGATGGTCCCTTATTCTAGTGTCTAGTGGGATGGCTCCTGGGTACCCCTCACCATGCTGGGCAGCCTCATAGCTGGCCTCTTCCTGCAGCGGCTGGATCGCCACCATCTCTTTCTTTGGAACAAACGTTGGCTCAGCGGTGGTGATGCTCATTCCCACCATCATGTTTACAGTCGTGGCTGTTTTTTCCTTCATCGCCCTCAGCATGGTACGTGGTTACCTCAAGGGTGAGAGGGTGGCTTTGGAAAGGGGCTGTGACCCAGAGGTCTCCCTGGGGACTCACTGTGGAATGGCTTGGTAGACTTTGTTCCTGATGCACAGAGCATGGGTGGGAATGGGTACTGGCTTTTACAGTGAGTTGTTTCTGGCTTCCCATATCTTTCCTGGATGACCGCCCCCCCCTTCCCTTTGATTAACCCTTCCTTGTGCTTCTCCTTCTACAGGTTCATAAATTCTACCGGGGCAGTGGGGGGAGTTTCAGCAAAGCACAGGAGGAGTGGACCACGGGGGCATGGAAGAACCCACACGTGCAGCAAGCAGCCCAGAATGCAGCCATGGGGGCGGCCCAGGGTGCCATGAATCAGCCGCAGACTCAATATTCCGCCACCCCCAACTACACATATTCCAATGAGATGTGAGCCAGCCGAGCCTACTGGGAGGCAGGGCTGGGGGCTGGTGGGATAGGGGCTCAAACTACATCATCTGTTGTGGTGACCAAGCAGGGTTCTCCCTTCCCTTTCCTCTTCCCCCTTTCCTTCTCTCTTCTTTGTACAAAAAAATCAGAATATATATATAATCAGAATTTTATATATATATATAATTTCTCTTGCCCCTTTGAATTTTTCTCTGAGCATTCTGAGAGCTATGGGCTGTACATGGAGCTGTCCCATGTGGTGGTAGTTGTATCCATGTCCCCTGTGAATTAGTGTGCAGTGGAGGTCTCTGTTGTCGTGGTGCTAGATGTATGTTTAGAAGTAAACCAGCACCCACCCTCCATCAGACTACTCCCTCTGACCTTGGCCCAAAGACCCCTCATGGGGCAGGAGGGATAGCAGAGAGAGCTTGGTCCCTTCCCCAGGGTTATGAGTTGAAACTGTTTCCACTTTTGGTCTTTTTGGGAAGCAACACTATTTAGCACTCGTGGTGGTGGTAGTGGGTGAGAGTGTGGGACAGGCCTGGGGATCTTCCCTTGCTCCTACTGATTTGGGTCTCCTTCCCCTCAACCTCCTCCCCTCTTTTCTTTCTGCTGTCACCATTCCCTGTGGTCTTTTCTCTTGCCCAGGGTTTCTCTCTTCCCTGTGTGGCTTTTTTTTTTTTTTTTTTTTTTTTCCCCAAGGCTGAATGTCCCAGTAGTATCTGCTCCTGAGACTGAGTCCATTCTCAGATCAAGGAATCAGACAGGGGAGCTGAGCCTTAGCCCTGATGTGGGAGGGCACACAGATGCAGAGCCCTCTGGGTACCTGACTCCCAGGGAATGGCCATGCAGGGTCATCTCCCTGACTCTTGGAGCTTAGCTTGTAGAGGAAAGCTCCTCTTTTTCCTGTCCTGCTTCTCCTGCTTCTCTTCCCAGAGACTCCTCAAGCCCCTCTGCCTAGGTCCCTTCCTAAACCCCCAGCTGCTGTGGCCTGATGCTCCCACCATACCCTGCCTTCCCTGAAGAGCTGGGTGGTGTCCAGGCAAAGGTGCAGCTGAAGCAGGGGATATGTAAATAATTATTGGTTCCTGGGTGAGCTCTGGCTGGTTCAAGCCTGCTGGGAGGTACTAGGTGTGTCTGAGTGACCGACCATTGGATTCCTGGCAGCAGTAGCTCTTCTGTGTGGGTCTGGTAGAAGGGATAGGCTCTGAGGGCTAGGCCTGGAGGGAAGATCAGAGGAAAGGCAGGTAGTGCCCATTGAGAGGGCTGCATGACTCCCCCTTGCCAGCTTGCTTTTGGTCATAGGGCAGTTCTGGGCACTTGAACTTAGGGCTTAGGATTAAGCACAGGGCTAATCTTATCTGCAGGCTCAATGGCTGGAATGGGATTTCAGGTTAGTAACAGTGGGAAGGGAGGCTCTCTGACTTTTGTTTTTCAATCAAGATAACTTGTTCCCTTATATCTACTGGCCTTGGTTCGTGGCTCATCCTCACCCTGCCAGAACCCCTTTCTCTTCCAGGACAGTGGGGCTATTCTCTTTCAGGGCTGTAGGGCTATTCTGTTCCAAGCATTATGAGAATGTTGCTGGTAAAGACTCTGGCTCTCTGAGGCCTGGAGGGGAGTGGATTCTTACTCAAGGAGTAGTTGCTCAGATCCCACTCTCCCTTCTCTTACCTGGGTATTTGGCCTGAAAAACAAATCCTTGCTTGGCCACTGTGGGCTGGCTCCAGGTTAGAACCCGGCACCTGGACTTCCATGTATAACCCTAAGCTTTGAGCTCCAAGTACTTCACTTTCCTATAAGGGGGCCAGGGCCTCTGGAAAGTTCTCTTTCTAATGGTCCCTTAGGCTTGGGCCAGAGTGTGATTGACTCTCTCCTCTACCATTTTCTCTCTGGAAAGCATTTGTCACAGTCCCTAGTACACTAGGTCTAGGTTCTTCCTTCCCTGTCCTCTCCCTCACCCCAGACCTCTGGCTCCCTTTCTCTTAGTCTCTCTGGTAGCTCTAGGAGAGCTCCCAGCCCAGGATCCAGGACCTGCTGGTTACCACCTCCAGTCTATTTCCTTCCCTCCCTGCCTTTCCTTTGTCCTGGCTCAGACCTATATGGCTGTGCCCTGACTCTGCCCTTGGGAAGGCCTGCTACTTGTGTGTGGCTGAGCTTGTCTAGGCCCTGGGTTGCTGCATCTCCAGGCAACTATGCACTTTTCTGGTGAAGGATGTAGTATTAGAAGTGGGGGCTGGGCACAGATTCATCTCTGCACGATGGTCTTGGGGGTGGGGTAGAGGAAAGCCCAGGCCAGTTCTGGGAATCCTCAGGTCTGCAGCGAGCCAGTGACCTGGTTTTGTATTCTTATTTCTGGGAGACAAGACCATTCTCCATCTGGCAGTTGACCTGGCTGAGCCAGTGTGTCTGTGGTAACTGAGTGAACCATAATAAATGGGAACATTTGGCCCTGTGTATCCTGCTGTGTCATGTGTCTTCATCTGGGCCTGTGTGGAGCCTTACCGTGGGCTGCAGGGTGTGGGGGTCTGTAGCCTGCCATTCCCAGGGTCCAGAAGTCACCTCTGTGTGGTTCTTTCTCTGAGGCAGCCTTGAGTAGGCCTTAAAATGGCCACAGAGGACTCCTGCGGGTTAGGAAGAGGAGTTCTGAGTTCCACAGAAGGAAGGAGAAGGCGGGATCAGTGGGTGAGGGGTGGTTTGGTCCAGATGGTCCCTGCAGGCAAGGCCAGGGGAAGAGCACAGAGGGCCCCACTCAGCTCTTATGATGGAGACAGGTAGCTGACTGAGCAGCCTCAACGAACACAAGGGGTTCCAGGGCGAAGTTGTCTCCACCTGCTTCCTCCAGATGCCTTCCTGTTGCTGATGCTGTGCCCTCCATCTGGCCTGCTGTTTTGGCACCCTAAGTTCCTGCTCATCCTTTGCGATTCACCCTGAGTGACTTCTCTGAGAGGGCTTCACTGGCCTCTAGGTGTTTATACCCCTCTGCTTCTTTATGGAGGACCTTATTCTGTGATTTTCTGTGTTCCTGCTCGTCTCAGGAGCAGGGATGTTCCTGATCTATCTCCGTAACCCCTGCACTTAAAACAGAAGAGGCTCGCTATAAATTCAGTATTAAATACCCCAAGGATGAGCAGTGTTTATGTGTGGGATGGAGGTGTGGAGTGAGGACGCCGGACAATTAGGCGAAGCCCAGGTGAGAGCACCAGAAAAACCAAGAACAATGAGCCAGGGTTCGCAGCAGAATTCCCTTGAGTGGACAACTACCGCACGGCAGAGAAATGGACTACAGCTCCCAGAAGGCTGTGCGATCACGTAGGCTGCCAGTTGCTCTCGTGAGATTGTGTGCTAATTAGAATCAGCGCGAAGCGAAAGGCGCGGCAGAGATACTGTGGTATTTGGGGGTGTCCCTGGTGAGGGTGAGGAGTCAAAGGGGGCTCGGAGCCTGGGGGGTAGTGGGAGGGGAGG